ATTTTCAAAATATTTTGGGAACACCGTTTTCAAATACTGCATCTCGGCACCTCCACGATTCCCGTTATGAGTATCATAAATCAGTGCAGAGTCTGGGCTCCTTACACGAAGCCTTTCTACCTCGGGGTGGAGAGTTAAGCCAAAACGAATCATCTCACTCACGACCTCTATTCAGAAGGACTTGTTAAAGTGGCCCAGTCACAGACTTTTTCCCACAAATGAGGATTTTTAAATTCCTATTCGCTCTCTCTTCCCTATTGTATCGTGTTTTTCTCACTTCTATTTTCTTTCCTTTGTACTTTACTTTTTTCATTTCCACAACTCCTTTTCTCCAAATGTCTGCTATTTGTTCCTTCTTTTATTTTATCTTATTCCAATCACATTTTATTTCAAATCCTGTTTTTTATTGCTGTTTAATTTATTTTTAATAATTTCTTCCTTTTTTCCTCATTCATCTGTTTTTTCTTCTATCTATGTTTCCCTTCTATAATCTTAGCCATCATTTCAAAAATTTTCTTTTTCTTTTTCTTTTTTCACATTTATTGAAAAAGCTACCTTTTTCCCACTTCTGTGAAGTGGGAAGAGCTGCGTTCACTAAGTTGCTTATTTATAAGTGCTTAATGCAAGCCTAGAGTATGTAAGACATGTACCAGGCACCAGGGTTGGGGGTAGCAATAAGGAATGAATGAGGAAGATAAAAATGTTGCTCATAATACAATAAGAAATAGATGCAAATAAATATCAAGGCACTATAATATCTGTACTGATGGAAAAATATAATATTTATCTCTGGGGATATGTGATTCGTGAACACTGTTTGTAAGGAGCCAGCCTCTGTGAGGAATCTTGAGGGATGGGAAGACATCAATGAGTGTAAATGGAGAGAAGATGAATAATAACATGAGATGAAAGGGGGGTGGTTTAATCGTGCTAAAGCACAGGGTGCTTGTGGAAGAATTACTGGGAATTTTGGACATTCTTTGTCAGACAATAAGGATGGTCCCTCTGCAGTATTCACAACAGACTCTGCCTTTCAGTAAACCTCTTCCGCCTTTCTGTAGACACGGTGGGGAAGACGGAATATCACAATAACTAATCCTCATCCTTTCTTTGCCTCTTTCTTCTCTTGTAAAATGGGATAAAAATAGTACTTAATTCACAGGGGTTTGGTGAGAATTAACTGTGTTAATAAATGTAAAGTACTTATAACTGTTCCTGGAACATAGCGAGTGTGGTAAAGATGTTTCTTATTCTTGGCATTTTGTTCTATTAAGGGTTGAGGCCAATTCAAATACTCTGTACTCTTTCCATGAAGCTTTTTTTAACCTCTCCAATTCACTCTGATCTTTTATTTCACTGTACACCCAGTCAGTGTTACCCAGTTAATATTTAAATATTCTCTAAATATTTTGTGTATTTTCATTTTGCGTCTTCATTAGAGCATAAGTTCCTTTTGGCAGGTACTACAAAATATTGTATACTTGTTTGATTCATCTGTGGAACCCACATGATTGAAGACATCTAATAGGCACTCAAAGAAACAGTAGCTGAACCAGTCAATGCATTCCATATCTTAGAAGCAAATAAGTGCTTGGTATGAAAGGTAAGCTTGCACATTCATTAGTGGAAAGCGAAAAGTATAAATAAGCTCAGAAATACCTGAGAAGAACTGCTCAAATAAATACAGTATTTTACTGTTTCAGGGTTATTCGACAGTATCAGGGAACATTTATCATACAACTACTATTACATACATATTACATGAATTACAGTGAATTCACTATTTAATTAAATTTTCACAACCTTAAGAGATTTTGAAAATGAGTGAGGCTCAGAGAGGTCACACTGTCATAAGTAATGGCAGAGCTAGGGTTCAACTCCGTGTCTACCAAACTCCAAGTATGTGCTCTTTCTTCCATAACATCTCCCACTGACATAAGGAAGAGAAATCGGAGAGATAATTTTCATTTTTGGATCAAATGGGTATGTCACATTGGCAGAACAATTATGGAAATACAAACAAAGTGAGAATAAAAAGTAAAAATGTGTATTTCTAGAGTCATCCAAGGAAAGCTAGCAGGAACGATCAAATATCAAAAATTGACTGATTTAAAAGGTTGGGATTCTGCATATGTATGGTAAAGTCCCAAAACATATCAATATTGAAATTTTTCAAAGGTGAAACTAATGCTTTTTTTTACAGGTGGCATGGAAAATCTTGGACAAGTGTTTACAGAGGGAGCAAAGTTCATAATAACAATAAAGTACTTTGATTTTTATTCGATGTTTTTAAGAATCAGCCTAAATTATTTCTTGACCCCAAGAGTGGGCCATTTCTTTGCTAACTTGGAGTAGAGTTAATACATCACTAAATAGATCCTGCCAGGTCCTTTAGCCAGCTCTGGGTGTTAACTTAGCTGGTAGAGTGTTACCTACAAAGCTGTTCCTCTCATTCACTCATTTATTTATTTTTCAACAAATATTTATGGAGCACCTGTAATGTGCCAAGCACTCTCCTAGAACCTTGAGATACATCAGTGAAAAAACAAAAATCCTTGCCCTTGCTGAAAAAGTAAAAAGGGATTAGAGATGTATGGAGGGGTAGTGGTGAGAATCACAAATAGTCTGGTCAGGATGGGCCTCATAGAAAAGAGGGCATTTGGGCAAAGCCTTAGAAGAGAGGAGGGAGGGAGCTTTGAGAGTATCCAGGGAAACTGCATTCTGGGCAGAGGAAGCTGTCAGTTCAAAGGCCCTTAGGCAAAGTGTTCCTGACTTGTTTGAGGGACAATAAGGAATCCAGTAGGTCTGGAAAGATGAGAGCAGTAAAAGATGAGCTTGGAAATGAGTGCTCATTGGCTTTTACTTGGAGGGAGATGGGGAGACTTTGCAGAGTATTTTTTTTTCATATCCTGCATTAATTTGTTTGTTTGTTTGTTTTTTCTGGGAAAGATTTGCCCTGAGCTAACATCTGTTGCCAATCTTCCTTTTTTTTTTCCTCCCAAAGCCCCAGTACATAGTCCATAGTTGTATATTCTAGTTGTAGGTCCTTCTAGTTTTTCTATGTGAGCCACCACCACAGCATGGCTACTGACAGGTGAGTGGTGTGGTTCCACACTTGGGGAAGCAACCCAGGCCGCCAAAGCAGAACACACTGAACTTTAACCACTAGGCCATCAGGGCTGGCTCATGCAGAATTTTGAGCATAGGAGTAACATGTTTTGATGTATATTTGGAGTTAAAAATGAATAGCCTAGGGGCTGGCCCCATGGCCGAGTGGTTGAGTCTGCGCACTTTGCTTTGGTGGCCCGGTGTTCACAAGTTCAGATCCTGGGTGTAGACCTACACACTGCTCATCAGGCCTTGCTGAGGTGGCATCCCAAATGGGATCCCATCCCACAGGGAAGAGCTAGAATGGCCTACAACTAGGATATGGAACTATGTACTGGGGCTTTGGCGGGGGGAAGGAGGAATATTGGTAACAGATGTTAGCTCAGGGACAATCTTCCTCACCATCAATAACAAAAAGTAGCATAAAATATAAATAGTCTAAAGCCATACAATGACTTGTTAAAGGATAATTTCAAAACGGGAGGCTAGCAAAGGCAAAAAATGGTTTGCCTATATCCAAAATATCAATGGTCAATTTTTTTCTCTTGTTATGTATCAAGTATTGTGTATTCATTAAACCTTTTCTAGTTAATGACAAAAATCACAGAGTAAACTTTAATTCTCCTAGGCTTAGAATAAGGCCTTAATAGCTCATCATTCACTTTTGATTATTAAGATGAAAATATTAATAGCTATTAAAAATGTGTTTATTAGTTTATACCATCATTATAAATCAACTAGGTTAGTAGATATTTTGATTAAAGTTGCTTTAATATGCAGAGTGGCTTAACTTCTTGGATGACCTGAAGTTTTGGTGTAGTGGAAGGTCACAGACCTCCTGCAGAGAAGACATTAGTAGTTTCAGCTGCAGGGCTAATGCCAGGGTGCAAGGGAGGAAGAGTGAACAGGTAGAACCAGGGCAGAAGGATCCTGGCTACAGGCCAGCCAGGAGTGGATGGCCAGCAGCTCTGATCATAACATTTGCTGTGTACAGTGAACTTCTTCCCTGCCTGGGCTGGTACTCATACCCAGAAAGGGAAGCCAAGGAATCGCGGGACTACTGCAATGCTCACCTAGGGAGTCAGTTTGCTAAGTCTCCATAACAAAACATCACAGTCTGGTGTCTTAACCAAGAGAAATTTATGTTCTCACAGTTCTGGAGGCTAGAGGTCCAAGATCAATGTGTCAGCAGCTTTAGTTTCTTCTAAGGCCTCTCTCTTTGGGTTGCAGAGGGCTGCCCTCTCTCTATGTCCTCACACACTCATCCCTTGGTCTGTGTGTTGTCTGTGTCCTAATCTCTTCTTCTTATAAGGACACCAGTCATATTGGATTAGGGCCCATCCATCTGGCCTCATCAATTACCTCTTTAAGGGCCCTATCTCCAGTCACATTCTGAGGTCCCGGGAGTTAGAATTTCAACAGATAAATTTCAAGAGGACACAATCCAGTCCACAACACCTAGCATCAAGATCTCAGTGACCTATCTGATTGAAGCAAAACTCAGCCTGGAATACCCAATCCCCTAACTAAGCACTAGGCAAAGCAGGAGAACCAAAGCATATTTTAGTTTGTTTGGTTGAGTTTTTTTGTTGTTGTTTATCGCAGATTTTGATATTTTCAAAAAGCATCAGGCACCGGCCCCATGGCATAGTGGTTGAGTTTGGCATGCTCTGCTTTGGCAGCCTGGGTTCTCAGGTTCAGATCCCGGGAGCATACCTACCCCACTTGTTAGCCATGCTGTGGCAGCAACCCACACATAAAGTGGAGGAAGACTGGCAACAGGTGTTAGCTCAGGGCTAATCTTCCTCAGCAAAAAAAAAAAAAAAAACTTATACTTATTATAATAGTCTTGTTAATTGCCCTCTAAAGGGCTTACCTGGCCTGTGGCCAACCCTGGATAAGAACTAAGGGAGAAGTCCAGCTAAATGGGTGGGTATTCAAGGCAGGGTTCTGGACCTAGCATGGGAATTAGAATGCAAACCAGAAAATCATGACTGCATCCCAATTACAGGGTCCAGAGGAGTAAAGAGAGTCAAAAGGGAAGGCTGCCACTGTGGATCAGGAATGCCACATCCTCACTCCAGGCACACTGGATAAGAGACTTGAGTATCGGGTTTGGTTCAGATTCCTTTGAAGTCCTCAGAGGGTAAATCCTAAACAAAGCGGTGGAAAGACACTGGCTTTAAAGTGAAAAATTTTTGAATCAAAACGCTAAATATACATCATCCTGGTTGTGAATCTATGAGAATGTGATCAAACCTCTCTGGGTCTCAATTTCAATAAATATCTCCATAAACACTAGTTCCTTTTCTTTCCTCTTTTCGCACAGCTGAGTAAGACTGGAAGAGATAATTACTGACAATTACAAGTTTAATCCAGAGAAAAGTAAACCAGAACTAAATAGGTCCAGAAGCAACATGGAATATATCCTCAGCCACCAGTGCCTGCAAGTCACAAGTAATAAAATCTACAGTCTCCTGGCTCTGCATTAATATGTTATGGAAATACCAAAGAATAAAGAATCATTTATATCTAATAGTCAAAACTGTTCTGAGCACCAAATATTAGATTCTTCTCTTTCCAGTTTAAACATTTGCTGTGCCATAGAAGGATGATGTTGACACTTCTGGTTGCTAGGAGCGTCATGGGGTTGGGTACATATACAATAGCATTCTGTCAGCTCAGATGTGGGGCGTTCTAATCAGCATGACTCGCTTTTCATATACCAGTACAATAATGGGAAGTATAGATTTACCATGCAAATTATACACGACAATGCGAATTCACTAATCTGGAGAGAGAAAAGCATTTGAGGACTTATGTTTAAGCATTTTTTTGCAGTATCTTTCAGAATGAAATAAATAAATAAATAAATAAATAAAAGCCTTGAAACAAAGTGGATGCTCACTAGTAAGTAATAGAATGTCTGAAAATATTGTGTTGCACACACACTACGAAATACCAAAGAGTCGCTAAAAGAAATAAATTATAGCTATGCCAGATGACTTGAAAGAATTTCCATCCTGCATTGTCAAGCGAGAATAGCAAAATGGACAAAATTATTCATATACAGCGATGTTCATAGCAGCATTATTCAGCATAGTCAAAAGATGGAAGCATTTAAAATTTGAAGTGTATTTATTACAATTTATATTTAATTTTGAATTTTATTACATAATTCTTAATGTTTTATAATTTAAAATATATTAATATAACTAATTTTTTCATTTATTTTAAGTAACATTTTATAAAATGCATTCAAATTTGGATTTTAAATACAACTGTGCTTTGAAGACAATTATATCTTTAATACTTTGATCATTGCCATGAATAGAACACAGATTAAGTGAAAATCTTGATAACAACCTAACTAATGATTTTACTGAAATAAATGCAAGACAAAACAATTTTGTAGAATAAACTATATAATGACTTATGAATTATATATATATATATTTTATTAGTCATCTAAAACACCACCTCCCAGTCAATAGAACACCAGGCAATGATAATTAAATTTGGTCTTCTTGGATATTTTACTAATTTAGTGTCTGATAAAAACTATAGCTATATATATATCTTTCACAGTTGTTATTATGAAGATGCATATGTCAAGGTAGGAAAATAGAACATATTTTATTTAACAGTTTGTTAACTTGATTTGTGATCTTTAAACGTCTAAAATACATATGTGGGCCTCCATTTTTACTTTTGGCCCAGGCTACCCAAACCTCCTGCACAGGCCTGGAAAGCGCTTTGAAGACAGGACTTAGGAGAATCCTGAGGTTAGGGCACCTACAGAAGGGCATAGGCTACTATCTCAAGATATCTCGATGCCCAGTTTAGTCAAGAGTCGGGAAAGCCAAAACACTGTTTCTAGTCAATACACATATCCTAAACTTCATTCACTTCACAAAGAAAAAATCACTTTCACTTCCATTATCCTAATTAATAAAACTTCTGATGTTGATTAAAAAAAAGAATTAAGATAGAGCCTTCAAAGAGTAGGCTTTCGATTAGTCTTTCAAATGCTAACTAACCACTCCTAGTCTTTCAAATGCTAACTAACCATTCCTAATTAGAGTATTTCAAATGTTAACTAACTGCCCCTGGGGTGTAAATTGCAATGAACTACCACACTCTGTACCACTGTTTAAATAGCAGTATTTTAAAGTAAAATAGAGCAAATGTAACAATCACCATATGTATAAGGGCTTTATAAATCAACAGTTGTGCCATTAATTAGCAGCTTTTTAATACGTTCTTGCAAGTCCTTGATTCAAACAATGTCAGACTTTTCTCTGAAAGGTCAGAAGTCATTGATTCCATTCTAAAATGCCTCTATTTATCTCCGCTGTAGGAACCACACAGTGAGGACCCAGACTAGAAAGGACATCGCCCCTTCCAGCTGGTCCCTGCAGCTGCTCGTAGTACTTGGCCAAACTTTAAAGACATTAGGAGCGTTCCAAGCATTGCCACCTCTCCCTACACACCTCTCAGATCATGGCACACATCTGTGAAGTGGCTGCCTCCTCACTGAAGCCGATTCCTCCAGTTTAATCTTGTATTGAAGGTATGGGTAGATTTCTGTACTCAAGCCATATAACCCAGCTCATTTATTCTTTGAGGGGGCTCAGCTCTCTACCATCAAATGATTTGAATAAAATGATCCCACTATCTAAAAAGATGAAGTCCAAACACCTCTATCTTGATAGGCCACCACCTCCACTTGGAGCAAGACCAATTCCAGGGAAACAGAAACCAGGGCCCCAGCCTGATGCTATTCTAGTGAAAATAATGGAAGGCTTATATCACAGGCCATGTTGCTAATCTATATTTTTCTAATGTTTCCAGTCCTTTTAAACTTTCTGGACTTGAGTTTTCTTTCTTATCAACTTCTCTCTGCATGGGCCTGGGCCTCCACCAGGATATTGATTTGTGCGGTGCATAGATTCCTGCTATTATCAGCTCAGCTGTTAGGGTGCCTGTGAAAGAGTACCTCCACCCTGCTTACAGAAAGGCTAAGAACAGCATTAAAGTTTTAGATCCCTCATCTGCACTAGCTGCTATACAAGTCACCTGGCTTATCTTGGTGAGTTCCTACTTTCTGTCCAACATCAATAACTGGAGGAGGCTGGAGTTAGGGTGACCAACCATCCTGATTTGCCTTGGGCTGAGGTAGTATCTGAGGCATGGATCTTTCAGTTCTAAAACGGGAAAGTCCTGCACAAACCTAGACTTGATAGCCACCCTTGTTGGGTGACTGGTCGGATTCTAGCAAATTTGCCATACAATGGAAGCTTCATGTAGAGCAGTCCCAGCCCAAGCCCATTACAAGTGGTACTAACACATTTCCTACTTACAAATCTCCTCCAGCCAGCGCCTTTTGCACACAAGTTGTAGCCTTAGAAAAAAGAAGGTTCTTCTTTGACCTAGAAAATTTTAAGAAATTAACTTTCACATTCTTCTAGCTCTCTACTTATTCAAAAGCCTACTACAGGGTCTTTTAAGCATTTTGCCACTGTCACCAAAGGTCATTTGTTTCAAAGACAAATAACATCAAGCCTGGGACTCTATGACATTCCATTATTGTCTGGTTTCTAATATTCACTCTACTCATAGCCCCTTAATCACATGCTTCTCATTTGAGCTATGCTTAAGCTCTCCTCCTCTTCACTTTCTTCTCTTATAAACTAAAAAATTTATATGAACTGAGACTTAACAAATTGTAAGGAGTTTCCTTATTATTAGCTAGAGTGCATTTTATCTAAAGGGTTTCAAAAACTAAAATAATTCATTCTACAAATATTTATTGAGTAGTTCCTCTATTATTAGCACTGCATTTGCTGCTAGGGATACAAGAATGAACAATGCAAGCACAATCTGCCAGGCTAATATGGGTTGCTGAGAAGTAAATGAGCAACAGCAGCACGGTAAATACCATGAGGGTCAAGTTCCATATAGGAGCGTAGGGGAGCAACAACTAATCCAAATTTGGAGGTCATGGAAGACTAAATGGATGGTTAGCACTCATCTGTTCATGTATTCATTGATTAATTTAACAAATATTTATCAAGAGTCTAATGTGTACCAGGTACTATGATGGCCATTGTGGATGAGCATGAATGTAATTAGGACATAGTCTTTATGTTGAAGGGGTTTCATAGTCTAGTATGAAAAAAACACGTGTAAATAAATAATTACAATATGATGTAATAAGTACTGTAATAAAGGTCTCCAGGGAAGGTTTCACAAAAGAGGGGACTTCTATATGGAATTGTACTTGACCTTGAAGATTAAGGAGGAACTTGCTAGATAATGGGGAAGAAGAAGGGCCCTCCATGCAGAGGCAACAGCTTGTGAAACAGCAGAGGTATGAATGCCCAGTAAGGTAACTACAAGCAATTGAGTATGGCTAGGGGTAAGGTTTTTGTGAAGAGTGGTAGACAGTGACTGAAATGGAGGTGTAATTAGATCACAGTAGGAATTTTATGCCATCTTATAGGATTTAGGTTTATTCTGAAAATTATGGGAAGCCATTGAATGGTTTCCAGTCAGGAAGTGACCTTTGCAGATCTGTATTCTAGAAAGATACCTGTAAAGATCGTGAGGATTGGCTAGAGGAAAAAGCAATTTATCTGATCTTCAAATACTCCGCGAAGTGAGTATAACAGGCATTTTCACTCGCATTTTATATATAAGGATCTAGGACTTGGAGGTGTCAAGTAATTCGGCTAAGGCCCCCTAGGTCATTTCAAAATGTAGGGAAGTCAACACTTGGTCCAGATAGGAATGCAGATGGAAATCTCTATGCAGTTCACCTTTGGCTTCAGTCACCCTATCCTTGAAAATAATCTTTAAAAGCTAGTTCTGGTTGCACTGCTGATTCCCCACTAGTTTTGCACGATTGATTAGATACAATTTGTATAGTATGAATCAGACTCTTTGAAGCATCAAAGTGCTCCACAATATGGTTTTCTATTTCCTAGGCAGAGGCCTGGGTCGCTCATATTTTCTAATGTTATTCTAAATCCTCTAAATCTTACCCTCCAGGCTGCAAGTGAGCCATGGAAATATTCCAGCTATTTTTATTTGGAGCCAACAGTGGGCAATTCATTTTAAGAAACTGACATTTTATCCTCTAATATTGTGAACATTTCAAAATTGTTGACACTGGCTCAAATCTGTTTCTTCTGATATTTGTGGGATATCATAGGTGGCAAATAATTGTGAATTAGCTTGATTTGTTTTCTTCCCTTCTCAGTTTTATAAATAAGTGCAAATGAGCCAATAATGATTTTCTCTTCCCCAAAAACATCTCTGCTTGGTACTTAAAGTTTTCAAAAAGTTTATTAATTACAATAAATATTAAGGATTAAGTTCACAGAAAAAGAAAACAGTAGTTTAATTATTCCTGGGACATCTGGATTTTTATTAAGGGGTGAAGGATGAGTAATAACAACTCTGCACACGTTATTGACTAATTTTTCCTTTATAAGAGTGGTTCTCAAAGTGTGGTCCCAGGGCCAGCAGCATCTGCATCACCTGGCAACTTGTTTGAAAAACAAATACTTAGCCTGAACCTAAGACCTACTGAGTGGAGTTGGGGGAGAAGCAGCAATCCGTTTTTTCAGACGTCTTCCAGTTGATTCTGAATCAGGCTAAAGTTTAAGACACACTGGTATAAAGGAAAAAAGCATATGTTTCAGACTACAAAAGACACAGTTTCAGTTCCAACCTCAGCCATTTGATTTTAGACACATCATCTATTCCTGGTGCCATCACCAGGTTAACTGGTTAATAACTTAGCTCCTTAGCTGGCCTCATGAGTATTATAAATACTACCTGATAAGTCATCCTTGTTCATTTGTTTTTTCACAGTCTCCGCTCTCCGATTTGGATGCACGCCTAAGTTTGAGAACCACTGGCCTATAAGATGCAATATATTGGAAGCAGACCAGCTACATAATTTGAGCAGCCCAGGGCAAAATGAAAGGCAGGGTCCCTTGTTCAAAAATTAAGAATTTCAAGACATTGACAGCACAGCGTTAAATCAAGCAGAGGGCCCAAATGAGCACTGGCCTACAAATGTACAGGTCGAATGCCCAAAGAGAAGCTCCTGCTTGTATTCAACCACTTTTATTTTTTCAGATGAAAATGATACAACGCTAAGAAAGTAGGCCACATTTCCCCCTCAGACACTTACCTCCTGAGTGGTCCATCTCCACAGACAGCCCTGCTCGTTAGCCTCTGTATCTTCGCCCAGTGTTGTCTCCCTTTCCGCTATCCAAATGCATTTTTGTACTTCAAGACCCGACTTAAGGTCCCCTTCCTTCACGAAGTCTTCCCTTACTGCCTTAACTCACTTAACTCTGTCTTTCTAAACTTTTCTAGCACTTGCTTTATGCCATTAATTCAGCTTTTTTAATATTAATGATTGCTGATCATTGTGTTCATCTTGTTTCTTAAGTTAGATTATAAGCATCTTCAGCATCAAGAGGGTGCCATCATCATACAATGCCAAGAGCTCAGGCTTTTAAGCTCAATAAAGCCTTGGTGTAAATACCCTCTCTCATTTACTAGCTGTGATGTAGGTCAATTAACTCACTTTTGAGCCTCAGAATCTTCACTGGAAAAATGGGGTAACAAGATGTACTTCATAGAGTTGTTGTGAAAATTAGATGAGATGATATAAGCAAAGCGCTGGGCATATATAAATGCTCATCAAATATTAGTTCCTTTATCAGATTTATCCTGCCATACATCTGATTTTGCTTGAGCAAACCGAACATTGCTAAACACAAAGTCAGTATTCAATGAGTATATAATCATTGGAAATTGTATGTATTTTATTTTTAAATGTATTACTTCGCATGTACTCAGGAAGTAAACAAATCTTATGTTGAAATTTATAGTGTTATTATCTATGACTCATTTGTAAATTCTTATATTCATATGCTGACTTATGCAAAAAATACACGTTTAATTTGTACAATTGTTTCCATTTTCAAAGTATTTTCACCTTACTTTATCAATGTTATCTTACATGGTGAAAAGAGAGAAATTCTTATTCCCAGTGAGGAGAAGGGGAAGATTGGCACCGACAGATTAAGGGATTGCTCTAAATTACACAGTACCAGAGTAATTTAATATCCACAAAAGTGTCCTAGAAGCTGGGTCTAAACTCAGATATGCTGACTCCTCGTCCAATACTTTTTTCCACTATACTAAACTATCTCCGGCAAACAAGAATACACCTGAAGGGGGCTGGGCTGTGGCCCAGTGGTTAAGTTCCCACGCTCCACTTTTGTAGCCCAGGGTTCATGGGTTCATATCCTGGGCGCAGACCTAGCACTGCTCATCAAGCCATGCCGAGGCAGTGTCCCACACAGAAGAACTAGAACAACCAGAAGAACCTACAACTAGGATATACAATTATGCATTACAGGGCTTTGGGGAAAAAAAAAAGAGGAAGATAAGCAACAGATGTTAGCTCAGGGTCAATTTTCCTCACCAAAAAAAATAAAATATGTTCTAGGTCATTAAAAGAAAAGAATATACCTGTAAACTACATGCAGGAACAATTATTTTAACGGATTAAAATAGCATAAGTGAGTATTTCTTTTTATGCTGGGCATATAGTGGGCGTTCAATGGTTGTTGAATTAGAAACACCATGTAAGGTGCCTATTACAGTTTCTGGTTCACAGTAGCACTGCTTAGTAAAGAGTGAGTTCTTATTTAATTCCTCTCTTTGATAAGCGTATTTTAAAGGGACCATTTTCTCCTAATGAAAATTTAAGGACAAGGTTGAGTATTTTTAAGACAGTTTCAATTTGGGGCCTAGCACATCATGCTCGAAAGCCGCTCCCCCCGCGCCCATGTGAATTATTATACTCCTTCCTCCTGACCTGCGCAAACCACACTTTGCCTGCCAACCTTATGACTCAAAGGCCCCTGACGACTCTCTGCAGCCTCCCAGCCACAGCCCAGGAACCCAAAGCGGTTTCCACGTGAAACACCTAAACACGGCCCCTAAGCCCAAGGTCCGCTACAGTGAGGGCCTAGATCAAAGGCGAATGAGAAGGCAGAGCCCCCTTCTGCTCCCACCCCCTCCACGTCGGCAGCATCCAATCGCTTTTCTCTGTCTCGCGATACGCGTCTGGGATTGGCCGAGAGCGGGACCGGCGCGGGACCAGCGCGCACGGGCCGAGCGCGGCGACTTGTCCGTCATGTGCGGCCGCCCGGCCTCCCCGCCTCGCTGCGCGCCTGGCGGGGCTGGGGGGCGGGGCCCGGCAGCTGCTGCGCCTGCGTGGTGGGCGTTCTCGGGGAGCAGCTGCCGCCGCCGCCGCTACCGCCGCCGCGTTCGGGTGTAGAATTTGGACTCTCCGCGCCGCGCTAACAATGAAGCAGAGTTCGAACGTGCCGGCTTTCCTCAGTAAGCTGTGGACGCTGGTGGAGGAGGCCCACACCAACGAGTTCATCACCTGGAGCCAGGTACGCCGCGGGCGCGGCGGCCTCCGAAGCCCCTGACTAACCGCCGCCTCCCTCGCGCTCTCCCGCGGGCTTGTCTCCCGCGGCCTGCGGCGCGACGCCGGCTGCGAGGCCCGCGGCGCGGGTCCAGGGCTCGGGGGCGCGGGCAGCCGCGGGGGGCGGCCGGCGCCCGGCTCAGGCCGCGGTGGGGGAGGGGTGGCCGCGCGGGGCCCGCGGCCCGGGAGGCCCCGTAACGGTCCGGCCCGGGCGGCCTTCGGAACCGGCCCGGCGGCGCGGAGCCACGTTCCTGCACACTCATCCTCCAGCTCGCGGGCGCCGAGGGGCCGAGGGCACGGGCGGCCCGGGCCGCCTCTTCCCCTCGGGGCTTCATCCGAGGAAATCTTGACCCCGGCGCCCCGAGGCTGCTCGCGGAGACGGACACGCGCCGCTCTGCCCCCGGGGTCTTTGTGAGGAGAGCGTCGGGGGAGTGGGCGCACGGTCCGAAGCCGCTGATCGATAGGTTTGCAAATCTCCCCTAGGAAATGGGACATTCTTCTTTAGAGATTCCGAGCCATTTGTATAAACGGATTTTTATGATGATTTTCACCCAAGTGCTGAGACAGGTGTTCAGTAACTTAGTGAGGAGCTGAGATGATTCGCTAAACAGTTGCCAGCAGAGTGGGCTATGGATGCCGTGATTATTGGTTTGATCCCAACTCTGCCACTAAACGGAGATGACCTTAGTCAGGCTCCTCCTGTGCCCTGAGTTTCATCGTCCATGAGATGCATGGGTTGCCCAGGTGATCCAGGACCCCTTCTAGTTCCAAACACTAAAATCCTAAGCAGAATGGTTGTTACATAAATGGCGCGTTTGCGTTGGAATACCCTCTTAGGCTGTGGGAATCATTTGGTGAAGGAGAGTGGGTTTCTCTTACCGTAGATGGTGGCCTGTTTGGGCTGTTTTCTTATTTAGCGGTCTGGAGATGAGGAAGGCAAAACTACCTGCACAGTGCCTGGCACCTGTTCAGAGCTGACTGAATGTTATCTCCCCTCGTTCTCCCTTTCTTTTCTGTTCTTTGCCTGTTATGGGAAGTCTCGGTTTTATTATTTCCTTCTGACGGGGAGCACCATATTGAGTACATAAAGTTTTGACGACTGTAACACCGTATTCTGTTTTATCTGTCATTTGCTGATTTTTTTAGTTCCCTTCTAGGACTTAATTTTCTTGAAGGTCAGTATCATCAGCTGGATGGTGTGTATTAAGCATTTGATGAGTTCTGTACAGTCGTACAAAGAAAGGTGAAAATCAGGAAGCCAGCCACCAGGGTACACTTAAAAATAAACAGATGTCTCATGCTTTTCATCAGTCAGAAGGATTATAAGTTGACAAGGATGGATCAGCACACGCCGCTGTTACTCAGCCTTGTGTTCGTGTTAAGAGATTGGATTGAGAGTCTCCTCCCCAGCCCAAGCTGGCTTTATCTTACCTTTTTGCTTGGATGGGCCTTCTTGCCTACAAGTGGTACCTAAATATATTGGTAATTGGTTAATTAAAGGGTATTGTGTCAGTGACAGGTCTAAAAATTCTCGTTAGCCAAAATATTTTAATAACATTCTTATTTTATGGGTAGTATCAAATGTGGAGAGTTTCAAACTAATACGTAAATGCATCATTTTATGATTTCTAAGCCAAATACAGCAACCACTTAAAAATCCTTCTTATTTATCCCATTATTAAGTCTAAGCCTGTGTCTTAACTCATTTTCTAATTATAATGGGACAAATAAAATATAAAATCAGTGAGGGTAGGGACAGTGTCTGTGTCAGGGACCCGGTAGATACTTAATAAATGTTTGATGAATCAGTGAAATCCTTGGACTATGTAATGGAAGTGGTAGGAATGATGAAGATGGAATTATGCCTGAAAATAATCTTAAAGATCATCTAGCTTGGCTTCATTTTCATATGGGTGAGGATTTGAGGCTTCTACAGGTTAGATTACTTACCCATAATTACAAAGCCAGCCATTATTGCAGGTGGGACTCTAACATAGATTTCTGACCTCCCAGATCAATCTTCTGTCCACAGCATTACCCTTAATACAAGTTGGCACGATATTTTGTTTTATGCCAAAATGTTAGACCTCCCAGATCAATCTTCTGTCCACAGCATTACCCTTAATACAAGTTGGCACGATACTTAGTTTTATGCCAAAATGTTAGCCCTCCACAAATTGTCCACAAATCAGTGAACAATTCTGGATTAATGTTGTCTAGGGTTCAGCTTTAGTTGCTTAGGAAAGCTGTCTCATTCTTCCACAGATTTTTCCAAAATTGTTAACAGTGAAAGATAAAACTTTAATTAAACAATGATGTTAGATGGAAAAACCAAAATAAGTTACTCTCATCTTTTAAAAGTTGCTATTTATGATTGTCTCTGGTTTCCTTCAAACTTGTTTTGCTGAACTTCTGTTGAGGTAATTTAGCATTTATACAATCAGAGTGAATATTAAGACCTTTTAGAAGCAACAGATGTTTTGGAAACCAGGCAATCTTTTATGCAGTTTTTTTCTTTTTTACTTGTGGAAAATAATTTATTCCTTTAGCTTGAGTGTTAGGCAAGGGGAGAAATCTCTTACCAACTGCATTTGAAAAAGCCTGACTCAATATTCCTGAAGTTTATATAACTTTAATTTTCCTTGAAACTTGTAATATGACAAAAATGAAAAATGAAATATCCCCATTCTCATCTAATTATAGAAATATGATATTTTGAGTAATCAAATTAAGTGTATTACTGATTCAGATAATAGAAATGTCTTTGGATCCAGAGTGTCTTTAAAACGTATTGTTCATATTTTTCACGTAGTCTCCCTTTGGAGGTTTCTTTTTCCTTCCTTTTTTTGTTTTTACATTTCCTGTAACTTCAAAATTTTATATAGATATTTTGGCTTTGGTAGGCATTCTATTGCAAGAATCAAGGTCAAAGACAGCACTGTCGGACAACCTAAAGCTGTTTTAAATGTAACAGAGTGCTAAACAGAGGGCACAGGTTTAACTTGGAAGCAACTGGGGAAACTTGATATTCAGGGACAAGAGGTTGTGGAAGTTGAATGGAAGTTCTTACCGTTCATAGTGAGGAACAGCCTTTACTGTTGCTGAAATTTGATACTCAGCGTATGTTGAAGTGAAGCAGTATAAAAGAAGGAAAGAACTAGAAAGTCATCGTTTTGCCAGTGTTATTACCTTTGTCTGAGTTCTTCAGATTGCTTGAGAAGACCAAGAAGTGATTTCCACTGAAGACCTCATACTCATTTGTTCCATCTTTTTTGCCTTTTGCCATTCTCGACTTCCCTCTCCCTCTTCAATCAGCAGAGACAAATCAGAAAATAGGAGGGAAAGGGGGCAAAAAAAGAATTTGTTCAGTGTTTGCTAGCTGTTTTGGATGAATTTGAGCAGTAGGCCCTTGGACTTGCTAATATTATGGTGTCATTTTGAACTTCTCAGCAATCATTGCATAATTATAGTATTCTCAAGTGGAAACAAGAAAGGCCACAAGCGTGGCAAAATAAGGGGTAAAATCCACCTTAGGTAGGCCTACAGAAAAGTTGGAAGATTCATTGACAAGTATTTTTTATTTATATACATAAGAAAGAATGAGCTAGAGGCTCGGAAGGAGTGGTTGGTGAACATTAAGAAGTTATAGAGTGTTTAAAAAAAGTATTACAGATTTCTATTTTGAAAAATGTTTTAAAACAATAAGGCTGAAGTATTAGATTATTAAGTAAGAATATTTTGGATATTTTTAACCAAGGGTACCAATTTGAGCAGTAACAACTGTTACTACTCTTTGGAAGCTTGCCAACATTTATGGGTAAGGCCTAAAAAGAAGCTACCCATCTCTCCCACCCC